CCCCCCCAAAACCCCCACACCCTGGAGCAGGGGGGCAGGGGACGGCGGGTGGTATCGGGGTGCCAGGCAGTGCCGCCCGTCCTCGACGTGCCGGCGAGGCGGTTCCCGTGCCGGCGTCGAACCCGATTCTCCCGCACAGGGTCCGCCAGCCGCCGGTGCCTGCTGAGCCCCCACGGGGTTGCCTACTGGGGTGTGCCCAGTTTCGCCCGCTGCATCTCCCACGAGTACCGATACTTGCATCTCTCAGTAGGTGCACGCTCTGGCGCGGTCCCCCCACCACCCCGTCCCCGTCGCTGGGGGTCTGCCCCATCCCTGGGCAGGGAAACCCAGCAGCCGCCTTGCTTCACCGGCTGGCTACCACATGGGGAAACTGAGGCAGGGCTTCCCAGGCATGGCTGGGGAAAAAGAGGAAAGAAAGACCCCATCCTTGAGCTGGGGGGGAGGACCTCCGTCCAAGCTGTGCTCCTGTGTCCTTGGGAAATGGCTCTCGGGATGGGAAGGACCCCCCCCACAGACCCCCAAGTCCCGCTACTGCCCTAATAAGTGCAATTAGCTCTGCAGTGTCCCCACTGCCCGGGCTCTGGGGATGGTGAGGGACCGGGGGACACAAGGCAGTGCTGGTGGCTGAGTGACACCGGTGTGTCCCCCCCGTACAAGCTGCGGGAGCACCTGGCCAAGGGGCAGCGGGTGCTGGCGGGTGAAGGCATGTCGCAGGTGGTGCGGAGCCTGCTGGAGCTCATGGCCCGCAAGACCTACTACAGCGGGGACCTGCTCTTCTCCGTGGAGATCCTGCGCAACGTCACCGACACCTTCAAGAGGGCCACCTACACCCCGTCCTCTGAGGACGTGCAGGTAGCCGGTGGGGGACGGCGAGGGACACCCCCCCGGGGAGGTGGCGGCGGTCGGTCCCCGGACCCCAGCCCCGCTGAGCCCCGTCCCCGCAGCGCTTCTTCCAGGTGGTGAGCTACATGGTGGACGCGGAGAACCGGGACAAGTGGGAGGATGCCCAGCAGGTGAGTGGCACGGGACACGGGCGGGTGGCCCGGGGCAGCCGGGATATCCCCACCGTGGGGACAGGTCCCGGCGGCTGCGGAGCTGGTCCCTCGCCCGCAGGTCTCGCCTGGCTCTGTGCACCTGATGAAGGTGGTGGAGGACTTCATCCACCTGGTGGGGGACGCGCTGAAGGCTTTCCAGAGCTCCCTCATCGTCACCGACAACCTGGGTGAGCGGCTGGGTGGGCACGGGGGCTCGGTGGGCACAGGGAGCCGGCCGGTGACGCCCGCTCTGCCCTGGCAGTGATCAGCATCCAGAGGGAGCCCGTCTCCGCCGTCTCCAGCGACATCAACTTCCCCATGAAGGGACGCCGGGGCATGAAGGATTGGGCCCGCAGCTCCGAGGACAAGCTCTTCATCCCCAGGGAGGTGCTCAGCCTCGCCTCTGCCGGTGAGGCAGGGCTGGGGCCGCAGGAGCGAGCACGCTCTGCGTGTGCGTGCACACGTGCGAGCGAGTGTGCACCTGGGGCTGTGCAGGAGCGTGCACGTGTGTGAGCATGCGCATGTGAGTGCCCGCGCATGCACATCTGGGAGTGCGCGTGTACGTGCACGTGTGAGCATGCGCGTGTGAGTGCCCACCTCTGTGCACGTGCGTGAGCGTGCACGTCTGGGAGTGGGCATGCGTGTACCTGGGTGAGCATGCACATGTGAGTGCGCATCTGGGAGCGTGCACATGCGTGAGTGTGCACATGCGTGAGTGTGCACGTGTGTGAGCATGCACACGTGAGTGCACATAGGGTGCTGTGCACATCAAGCTTGTGCATGTGTGTGTGTGAACGTGTGTGAGCTTGCATGTCGGGGGCTGTGCATGTGTGAGAGCACACGTGTGTGAGCCCGCAGGACACCTCCTGCCAGCCCACGTGCCTGCATGTGTCCGTGTGTGCCGTGCCTGTGTCAGGGAGGGGGTTGCGCGTTCCCTCACACGTGTGGGGGGCAGACGCGTGGGCTCTCACGTGTGCGTGTGCGCTCGCTGAGCCCACGCGTGTGCCGGGCGCTGGATCACGGCGCCGCTCTCCCTTCCCCTCTCTCTGCAGAAACGGATGAGTCGTCCCACTTCGTCATCGGGGCCGTGCTGTACCGCACGCTGGGACTGATCCTGCCCCCGCCCAGGTGAGTGGGGCTGCCCGCTGTCCCCCCGCGCTGCGTCCCCATCCCTGTGACAGCCAGTGCCCCTCCCTGCAGGACCCCCCTGGCCGTCACCTCCAAGGTGCTGATGGTGACGGTGCGCCCGCCGACCAAGCCGGCGGAGCCCCTCGTCCTGGTGGAGCTCTCCCACATCATCAACGTGAGTGTCCCCTCGCCGTGTCGCCTCTCGGTCCCGCGTGGGTCCCACCGGCCCCTTCGCCCCAAGGCGCTGAGAGCCGGGCAGGGGCCAGCAGCTCCCAGCTGGTGGCCACAAGTACTCGGCTCCGTGCCCACAGTGGGGACGTTGCCAGCGCTGGGGGAGCCAGGCAGGTCCCCCAGGGGCCAAATACCCCCCTGAGGGTGGGAGAAGGGCAGGGGTGAAGTGCTAACCCATCCCTCTGTCCGCAGGGCACATCCCACCCGCAGTGCGTCACCTGGGACTACTCAAGGACGTGAGTGGGGGACAGGGACGCCCTGGACGTGCCCTGGCTGGCGGGCAACGCCGGGCGATGGAGCTGGGCTTATCCCAGTGCTCCATCGGTCACTGGGGAGCTGGTGGGAGGGATGGGGAGCGGGGCCAGTCCCTTCCCTCTGACTGCGGGTGAATTGTGCTGCCACGGGATCGATCTGGCTCCGCGTGACGCCGGGGACGGATGCCGCCAGCCTGCCAGATGCGATTTGTTAGCGCGGAGCCCGGCGCTTTGGCAGCAGCGAGGGAAAGTAGGGCACGGCGGGGGGAGCGGGGGGCACTGCGGGGTGGGGGGCAGCAGTGCTGGCCCCCCCTCCCTCCTCCCCAGGTGCCCTCTGCACCTCAGGGTCACTGGTTCCAGTACAGCTCCCCGTGTTGTTGGGGAGGCCCTTGGTTGCGATGAGTGGTGGCAGGTCTCAGCCTGGCCCCGGGGAGCTGTGTCCCCAGCTGTCCCACAGACCCAGTTCCCCGTTTCCTCGCCTTGCTGGGAGCTGTGGCTGCTCTCCCTGTGCGTGGCCAGCGTCACCGCAGGGCACGCCCTCCCAGATCCTTCCCGGGGGGGGGGTCCCATGGTGGGAGAGTTATCCGTGGCAGGAGGGCAGGAGCATCGCCTGCTCCCAGGCAGGTCTGGCTTTGGGGTAGCACATCTCTGCCGTGTGAGCTGTGGCTTGTGCTGGGGGGGGATGTGGGTGCTGGGGGGCTCCCGGGACTGCTTCTGCCTGCCCTGGCACTGCCTCACCCCTCGCCCCCATCCATCTCCAGCACCTCTTCTCCCTGGCCTGGCCCCCTCCTTCTGCGGTTTGCCCCCCCCAAACCGAGGTGAGATGATTAAAAATCAAGCCTTCGTGTTGCACCGCTCCCCAGAGGGATCAGCACCGGAGCGGGCGGGGGCAACTGGGACAGGGATGGCTTCACCCCCTGCGATGGGCTCAGGGGATTAACCTGTCCCCTGGCAGTGCCCCCCCCCCAATCTGCTTCCCCCCAGGCAGAGGCCGGCAAAGGGTTAACTCGGGAGAGGCGCGAGGGGCTGCGTGTGTTTGATCATTTCAAATTGCTCTCCCTCGCTCTCGTCCCATTAATCAGGGATGCTGGCTTGGGAAACTGGGACACGGAGAGCTGCCAAACCCTGGAGACCCTCCCAGCGCACACCAAATGCCAGTGCCGCCAGCTCGCCACCTTCGCCGTCCTCGCCCAGCTGCCCAGAGACCTGGTAGGGGACACGACGGGGACAGGGATGACCCTACCGGGGACACGGGACATGGATGGGGGGGCGATTCCCGGGCTGCGGGGCCTGGCCGAGGTGGGGGTCCCCGGGGGAGGATGGGGATGGGCAGGGGCTGCGTTGCCTGCAGGCACCTCCACAGGGTGGGCAGGCCACTGGGAGGATGGGGGGGGGGGATCTCCCACCACCCAAAAAAAGGCCCCCTGCACCCCCTGGCACCCCAAGGGTGGGCTTGGGCAGGCAGGGGGCTGTCGTGATCAATAGGACTTGATATCGGCATTGCTGTATGCTAGGAGGGGAGGGGGCAGCCCCGGCCCCAGGCGTCCCCCCCCTGCCCCCCCAACCCCATTGCTATTCCACCCGCGTCCCCCGTCGGCATGGAGATGGGCACGGGTCCCCGGGAAGGCGCCTTGGCCGCGCCACCACTGCCACCGACCCCCTCCGGCACCCGGGGGGTCCCCAACCAGGGGGTATGAAGGGGCCCGGTGGGGGACAGGGGGCTGGCAGGGAGCAGCCATGGGGGGGCCGGGTTCAGCTGCTTCCCCCCCGCCCCGGTTCCCCACCAGGCCATGGACCCCTCGGGCACGCCGTCGGTGCCGCTGATGATCGGCTGTGCCGTCTCCTGCATGGCCCTGCTGACCCTGCTGGTGATCTACGCTGCTTTCTGGAGGTGACACGGGGACAGCTGGGGACCCCCAGGGTGGGGGGGGGGCACCTGGGGTGTGAGACCATGTGGGGAGGGGGCGGTGAAGCGGGGCACAGCGTGAGCAAAGGCTTGGCGTCGATGTAGTTAAATGCAACGTGGAGGGAAGAAAATAACCCAGGGTGGGAGAGGTGCCCGGGCTGCCTGGCACCGACCCTGACCCGGGAGAGCACCCGTCCGCCGGCAGCACCCCGGGGGGGGGACGTGGGACAGGCTGGCACCCCGGCCCCAAGCTGCTCCTGCCCGCAGGTTCATCAAGTCGGAGCGCTCCATCATCCTGCTCAATTTCTGTGTCTCCATCCTGGCCTCCAACATCCTCATCCTCGTGGGCCAGTCTCAGATGCTCAGCAAGGTGGGTGCCATCACCGTACCCCCCTCACGGGGGTCCCCGGGGTGGGTGCAGGGGCTGCGGTGGAGTCAAAGCCCTCTCTTCCCGGCCGGTCACCTCGTCCCTGCTGGCTCCCAGCAGCAGATTGGATTTGGATTAACTCGATCTCGGGATTAAATCCTTTGCGCTGGTGGTTTTGACACAAACCTCGCGTGGGAGTTTAACCACCGCGGTGCCAGGCACGTGGCCGCGGTGATGCCACGATGCCTTCCCCCTTGACGTGCCCGCATCCCCGCAGGGTGTTTGCACCATGACGGCCGCCTTCCTCCACTTCTTCTTCCTCTCGTCCTTCTGCTGGGTGCTGACGGAGGCCTGGCAGTCCTACCTGGCGGTGATCGGCCGGATCCGGACACGCCTGGTCAGGAAACGCTTCCTGTGCTTGGGATGGGGTAAGAGCCCAGCAGGGCTGGTGCCGGGGTGGGCTGGAGGGGAGGCACCGCGCGCCCCTCCCTGGTACCCCCCAGGGTTATCAGAAGGGGAAACTGAGGCACAATGGAGGAAAGCAGACCTAGGTGTTCTGGCCCCTTCGACGTGGCACCCTCTGACCAGCCAGACCGTGGGGAGCTGCCAGAAGGGCCCCATCCCTGTCCCCATCCATGGGGGCTGGCACAGGGGTGATGGTGGGGGACACACACAGCAATGCCACCCCCCTGCAGCTCCAGCCTCGTCTCCCCTTTCCAGGCTTGCCAGCCCTCGTGGTCGCAGTTTCCGTCGGCTTCACGCGGACCAAAGGCTACGGGACAGCGAGCTAGTACGTGGGGACTGGGGGGGGGACACAGGGCTGGGCATGGGGACCGCTTGGGGCTGGCAGCAGTGCTGGGGACAGGGGACGTCCCCTCTCCGTCAGCCCCTGACACGCCACGGTCCCCTGCAGCTGCTGGCTCTCGCTGGAGGGCGGTTTGCTCTATGCCTTCGTGGGACCCGCTGCTGTCATCGTGCTGGTGAGCTGACCCTGAGCCTTGGACCCCCCAAAACCCACCCCGGTGTGTGGCAGCTCCTGCCAGCTCCGGCTCCCGGAGGGCTCCGTGCCCAGCCCTAACCCCGGCGCCGCTCTCGCCCAAGGTGAACATGCTGGTCGGCATCATCGTGTTCAACAAGCTCATGTCCCGCGATGGCATTTCAGATAAGTCCAAAAAGCAGCGAGCTGGGTAAGTGCCCTGTGCCCCGCGGGGCTGTCCCTGGGGCCGGCGCGGAGCACCCTGCTCTCCCGCGCCACGGGGCATGGCATGGGGTCTCCTTCTCCGGGAGCGGGCTGAGGACGGGGCAGACTTCACCTCATCAGTGGGCGGCGGGGGCCAAGCCTGGGGCAACCGCAGCCCCTCGTTGGGGGCTGCTGGAGGGGCAGTAGCTGAGGGGGGGGCAGTCACCCCCACACCTTCCCCCAGGGAAGGGGGAGCCGCAACCTGCGGACCCCCCCTCCCTGCCGCCAGCGGAGGGGGCTGAGCCCTGCCCGCCCCATCCCGCTGCCGCTTGGCCACCCCTGCTCGCCACTAACAACTGCTGCCGCCCCTCGACTAACCCGGCTCTCTCTCTCTCTTTCTCTTTTCCTTCTCCCATTTGCTTTTTGCCTGTGTCCGACCATCCATCCATCCGTCTGTCCGTCCATCTGTCCGACCTCCCCACCCCAAAACCCCTGCCATCCTGCTCTCCCACGGCCTTGCTCCCCTCGCCTGCATCCCCGCGTGGCCCGGTCCTGGCCGCGGGGGCGCCGGGGGGGTGGTGGGCACGTAGCTCCAAGCCCCCACCCTGCGGCAGCCTGCTGCTGAAATGCACCAAGTGCGGCGTGGTGTCCAGCGCGGCCATGACCTCCGCCACCGCCAGCAGCGCCATGTTAGTGCCCGCCACGCGCCCGCTTCGCCCCCGCCCCGAGCACAGCCTTGGACCCCGGGGACCGCAGGGGGTGGGCTCTGGGGATGGGGGGAAAAGGATGGATTCTGGAGGTTGAGGGGGGGTCCGGCGGGCAGGGTGAAGGCTGTGTGCTCGGGGTGGCCCCGGGCACGGGTGCCCCACCGCGGCCATCACGTCTGCATGGCATGGCTTCCCGCAGGTCACGTCATCTCCGGGGTCGGGGCACGGGGTGGGGGGGCTCAGCTCCTCTTCCCCGGGGGGGGGGGGGCTTGGGAGCAGGGAGGGCATGAGGGGCAGCACGCCATGGGGCACGGGACGGTCCTGGCCTCGGGGGCGTCCCCGAGACCCTCTTCCCGGCACGTGAGCCCCCACGGGTGCTGGCTGGGACATGTCCGGAGGGTTGGGCTGTGACCGCTGCCACCCTGGTCAGCCGAGGGTTGAGTTGCGATAGAAGCAGCCCCAAAATTCACCGCGAAAAAAAAAAGAAAGAAATCCCCTTGCTGCTCTTCTCGCGCCTGTGGGGAGGGTGACGGTGGTCCCGCATCTCCCCCAGCACCCTCCCTGCCAGCAGCGCTGCCTGTGCGGGGATAAGGACACATGCGGCTGTGCCCTTCCCCGGGCCGGCTCGGTAATGCCGATGTCTCGGTCTCGGGGGGCAGAAAGAGCCCACGGGCCCCCTCGCCCTAAGGCAGGCAATGCCCCCAATACCCAGCCAGCGCCGGCTTGGGGACGCCGAGGAAGAGGGGACAGCGGGGGGCCAGATGGGGTGCACGGCATCCACAGGGCGTTCGGGCTCGGGTCTCCGTGCCGCGCCGTGCGTGGTCGGCTCCGGCCACGCTTGCGGGGTGGGAGGTGATGCTCGGGGGGGGCTGTCGCGGGGCAGCTCCGGTGCAGCGGGCTCACCCCGGCTCCTCTCTCCCTGCCCCAGGGCATCGCTGTGGAGCTCCTGCGTGGTCCTGCCTCTGCTGGCGCTGACCTGGATGTCGGCCGTGCTCGCCATGACCGACCGGCGCTCCATCCTCTTCCAGGTCCTCTTCGCCGTCTTCAACTCCGTCCAGGGCTTCGTCATCATCACCGTACACGGGTTCCTGCGCCGAGAGGTGGGGCGGCCCCGCAGGGGTGCTGAGGGTGGTGGGGGGCACGACGACCCCTGACCGCGGGGCCGTGACCGGCTCTGTCCCTGCAGGTCCAGGACGTGGTGAAGTGCCAGATGGGGGGGTGCAGGAGCGAGGAGAATGAAAACTCGCCCGACTCCTGCAAGAACGGGCAGGTGCAGATCCTGGTGAGTACGGCAGCGCCGGCACGGGCTGCAGCGGGCACCGGCAGGGCTGGGCGCCCCAGCTGGGGCAGGGTCCCCCTTGCAACCCCCGCCGCTCCCCGTGCTGGCCAAGATGCATTCATTTCCCCATCTCTCTCCCCCTCTTTCTCTCTCCTCTCTCTCTCTCTCTTTCCCCTCTTTCTGTATTTTTATAGACAGATTTTGAAAAGGATGTTGACCTGGCGTGTCAGACAGGTGAGGTCTCCCCTGGCCCCTGCGCTGGGGACGGGGATGTCACCATGCCCACGCCTGGGAGGGACCAGCAGCGTGTGCCGGGGCGGGCGCGATGCCACCACGCAGGGGGTCGGCCCAGCCTCCCCTCCCTCCCATGGGACCCCCGGGGCCGGCTCTGACCCCGCTCCCTGCCCGCAGTGCTGTTCAAGGAGGTGAACACCTGCAATCCCGCCACCATCACGGGCACCTTGTCCCGCATCTCCCTGGACGGGGACGAAGACCCCAAGCTCAACACCACCTCGGAGGGTGGCCTGGGTTTCTCCAGCCTGCCGGGAAACATCCCTCCTGCCAGCATCCTGGTCCAGGTCCCCAAGATGACGCCCAACGTGGTGGCAGGCTTGAGCGAGCTGGGAGAGCCGCCGGCACAGCCGCTCAGCCTGGAAGCGCCGGGTCCCGTCTACCTGTGCACGGAGAGCAGCCTGCGGCCCCTGGAATACGGCTGGCTGCGGGCCCCCGAACCCCCACGGGAAAGCGACTACATGATGCTCCCCCGCCGGACCGGCAGCCTCAAGCCCTTCCCGCGGGAGGAGAGCACCCTCGGTCCCGGCGCCGAGGAAGGGGTGCCCGGCGGGACGGGGCGCCCGACGGCCGAGGGGGACGCCTACCCCGGCTTCGTGGCGGTGGATCACATCAACGTGAACTTGAACCAACCCTACGGGACGGTGAAGGCCCCTTACGGCCTCCAGTTCAAGCAGCACCCCACCGTGCGGCAGATCCTGGCCTCGGAGCTGTCGGAACGCAGCCGCACCATGCCCCGCACCGTCCCCGGCTCCGCCATGAAAGTGGGGTCCCTGGAGGTGAGCGGGGGGCTGGCGTGCGAGCGTGCCCCTGGAGACGTGTGCAGGGAGGGAGATACGTGGGAGGGAGTTGGGCGAGCGTGCAAGAGCGTGCGTGGACGCGTGTGCACGTGCAGGGTTGCACGAGTTGCCCCCGTGCTCTCTGCTCGGCATCCCACCCTTTGCTCGGGGCTGCCTTCACCCCAGTAGCACGGTGGATAAGCCGCACATCCCCCAGCTCGGCCGGGACCCCTGTTTTCTCCAGCCGGGCTCTGCCCCCTGCAACTGGCACGGTTTGGGGCTGGCATGAGCTTCCCCCCACCCTGCCCTGCTCCCTGCTGCATCCCGGACCGGCAAAACACCTTTTCCTTGTCTTCCCCATCTCCTTCCCCTGCTCCGGGCTCTTCGCGTCCCCTGCCAGAGGAAGAGGTTGCGATACTCGGATCTGGACTTCGAGGTAAGTCCCGCCGTGGCAGCGGGTGTCACCGGTGCCCGCCGCGGGGTCGGGTGCCATCTGGTGACTGAGCCACCTTTGTCCCTGGTTCCCTCTGGCTCGCTGTCAGCAAAGCAGCGGCCGAGCTCAGAGGAGTTTTATACCAGGCGATAACGAGCGTTGACTCGTGATTAAAACGCCAGCGCCCAGCGGGAGCGTTGCAGCGGGCTCTGCCGCTCGCCTGCACCCTCTGCCCCGGGTTTGGGGGTACCCTGGGGATGTGCATGGGGTGAGCGGGCGAGAGGGGGACGGGGAAGGAGGGGGTGCGCCGAGGGGTACGGGGCCGTGCTGGATGCCGACGGCCGCGGGCTCTGCTCTCACCCCGCAGAAGGTGATGCACACGCGGAAACGCCACTCTGAGCTCTACCACGAGCTCAACCAGAAGTTTCACACGCTGGACCGGTACCGGGCTCCGGCTGCCGGCTCCTCCAAGGTGAGGTCCTGGGGGTCCTATCCTGCTTCGGTTTGCTCCCCTGCACCCCTCCACCTTGCCCGTCATGGACTGGGGCATCCTGGGGAGGATGGTGGGGGGACGGGGCATCCCCCAGGGATGATGCTGGGGCTGAGCGCTGTGATTTTTTCCGCAGCGAGAAAAGCGGTGGAGCGTCTCATCGGGCGGTGGGGAGAAGAGCACGGCCAATGTAAGTGCCCAAGCCCCCCCGGGGGCTGATCCACCCCATCCTGGATGGGGCCGGAGGGCAGAGGTGGGCGGCTGTGTCCCGGGTGGGAGAGAACCGCGGCGTCGCCACGCACCCCGACCGCTTGCCGCAGCTCTCCCTCATCCCGCAGGATGCGGCCGGCCCCGAGGAGCAGCAGCCGCAGGCACCGGCCGCGCCGCCGAAGCCATGGAGCACGTTCAAGGCGATGACGCTGGGCTCCCTGCCCAGTGCCCAGCGGGACCGGCTGGAGCTGCGCTGTGCGGACTGGGAGGGCCCCTGCGCCGGCCTGGATGCGGCCGACGGTGACTTCCAGACAGAGGTGTGAGCCCCTCGCGGGCCGCCACCGCCTTCGCCCCCGGCGCAGGACGAGCCGAGACGCTGGGTTTGCTCTGTCCTCCTTGGTGGCCGGTGGAGGGGGGGGCCTTCCCTGGCTGGAGCTGTCCCTGCGGAAGGGACCGTGCTCCCCCTGACCCCGGCCGCAGTCGCCTCTCGCCCGTCCTCGCGCGATTTCTCCTCCCTGCCACCCTCCGGACGCGGGTGTGGAGGGGCCACAGGCCCCCCCCCCCCCCCCCCCCCCCAACCCCCCCATGCTCACCCACCGATCACGCCTGCACCCCCCTCCCGGGGCAGGACCGGCCGTCGAGGCC